TGGTGTGGTGTAAAAATTAAATAAAGGGAAATAAATTTGGGCAATGCCCATACTTATTAAATGGGGCATGCCAGAAGAATAGGATGTGGAAATACTGTAGTTTTATGAGTATTGCAAAAAGTGTGAGGGAGTCCAAGGGTTTGTTTATTCAGAGGTTGGCAGTCTGAGGTTAGTTTGGAGGGATGGTGTAAAATGGGTTAGTGGGAGAGAGATATTGGGGTGGGCTTGAGTGGATCCTTGGCTCTGAAGGCACATTTCATTTCTTTGAGGTGTCTGCTCTTACTGGGTAAGTAGATTGAGAACAGATTCCGGAGGATGTTAAGGGTTTTTTAAAAACAAGTTAGAAATATTTGCTTTTATGGCACGGAGTTTGAGGGATTCTTTACAAAGGGGAAGGTTTTCAGGGTGCGTGCATATGTCCAGTACATGTGCAGGATTAGCACTGGGAAGGGTGGATAATCTATATGAGCGGTATGCGTGTACTTGGGTAAGATGTAGGAAGGTTTTGTTTTCCAGCCTGTGTGGGTGTGGAGGTTCTCTGGCTGGGCGTGTAATACAGCCTCGAAATCAACACCCTGCCTTCCAAGTGTCTTTATTGTCTCCATTAAGCTGGCGGCAACAGTTACTTCATACCATGGCAGCGAAGTCTCTGGTGCCTGTTTTTTCAGAGCCGGCACAGCTTATCAATGCTGGAGCAGTGAGTAGCAGCAAAATATCTGTTTTTCTGCTCCTTTTGTCTAGCCTAGGCCTATCAGTGAACAGATCTTTATTCTATTCCATTATTCACATTTCAGAATAGAAAGACTTTTTAAAAAATCTCCCATTGCCCTCATAAGCACACTGGACTTTTTTTCTTTAAATGCTTCTATATTTATTTCATTTCTAAAAATAAACCTCTAAGGGTGCTGAGAGAGATTTTTTTTTGGGGGGGGGAATGTTCTTGTCTCTATTGTAGCTGGGGAAAAAGGTGATTTCTTTAAAAAAAAATCTCATCTCCAGCTAAGAAACCTAATGTGTAGGTCTTGGCATCAGATTAAAATCAGTAAGGCTTCGTTCTCATTAATCAGATTTATTCCCAAGTAAGAGTGTATGAGATTGTTATGGGCTGCATTTCTGTGAAATTGTTCCTGTGGGTAAGTTCCACAGACATTCTTGGGCCCAAGTAACTGTTCCTAAGACAGAACTGTACATATGTCAGTAATTGGCATGTATTTTCTCTTCAGCACTTAACACTGGATTAGAAATTCACCTGTGAATGTGATAAATTCATATTTTTATGGCCAAACACCAGTATGATGAAGGTACTGTATACTATTTTTTTTTTGGACTTTCAAAGTGTTTCCTTAATACTTCATGGCTGTTGCATGTATGATTGGTATTTTAGGATTTCTCCCTTCCCTTTTTTTAAAAGGCAGAGGTAATGTGGAATTTATTATACATAGAATAGTTGCTTCTTATTTTAAATGTCCTGGTAACACAAAAATGCTGAAATTTGGAATTAGAAAGCATTTGGTTTAGATAAACATTTTGTAACATCATATCTTCCAGCGCAGTCCTGCCCACATCTATTCAGAATTAATCCACACTGATTTGAATTTGAGTCTTACTCTGCGATGAGTGATGTAGGATTTCAGCCTGAAGGAGATTCCTAATTAAAATGGTATTCTTCAGCAGTTATTTACTGACGTGTTCTCAGATTACCTTAATTCCTTCTGGTTTTAACAGATGTCTTCTGTGTAATTTTCATGCAAAAGCAGCAGTGATGTACATCCTGGATCAAAGTAAGACAGCCAAACTAGGCAGATAAATTGTCAAGTCCTGACTTGCTGGTACAAATATTTTGTGGTGTATTCAGCTTCTAAGAATAATGTTCTATTTGAATTTGTATGCATTGTGAATATAGAGAAACTGAACAGTTTTCTGCATCCATGGTAGGGATTTGATTTCTTTGCCCTCAGCCCTGTTGATCTGCATGTGTTTGCGTCTGAGTTTGGCACACTCTCTTTTCAAGATTGTGATCCTCAAAATCTACCACCTAACTCGGCTGTGTTGGAAGTGAAAATGCAGAAGTTGCAACCTGAAAAAAGTGGCTGTTCAATCTCTGATTGCTGCTGGCCCTTTTCTTAGAGGGTCTCTGGGAACCTGCACAAAATAAGTCCCATCTAGTTGCCTAAGGGTATTAGCCACTTGTGGGGAAGAGCATTTGTGGAGGCCCCAGAAGGGTGGCCGGAGAGTAACCTTGACTGTATGGGCTTGGGCTGCAATCTGGCTGTTTTAGTGAGGCCAGCAGGCAATTGTCTCTATTTGAAAGTACAGTATATATATATATTTTAAAAACAACCTTTATCTAATTTAGTTCACCTACTTTTCTTAGTAGGTGAACTGAAAAAAATGAACATACTTGGGATTAGGCAGTTGTGTCTTTGTAGGACTTGAATTCAGTTTCACTACTTTAGTCAAGTTCTTGTGATGCTGACTGAAGCCTGATTGAATACATGGATGTCCAAGGCGAGCAGAACAGCAAATGTCTTTCCCTCCACCTTGAACACTTGTTCTGCTGCAGTGTCAAAAACCTGTTCCAGAGAATTTCCTCCAGAAACATGTTTTTAGGGAGCAATGGAAGTGGTTAGGGGCTTCAGGAGGAGATGGGTATTAAATTCTGGTGGAACCACAGGATCCAGGAGAAGGATGATGAATCCTAGGCCTTGTGAACTCTTATGTGTTTGAACTGTCTCCTGGCAAAAATGAGGGTTCGGCAGAGGCTTAGCTGGAATTCCTCAATAAGCAGATTAGTAATGACAGATTGATTTCCCTAGCAAAACAGCTTGACGAGAGATGGTAGCTTTCCTTTGAGAAAAATAGCTTGCGCGGAGCATGTGCAGTTGTTTTCTCAGTTTAGGGAGGGGCAGGCCCAGTACTGCAGGACTGTATGCTCTGGAAAAATGGTTTAGATATCAACTTCAATAATCGCTTCCATAAGCCGTGTGCCAGCCGAGGCTCCTGGGGATTAACATGCAAAACATCTGCTGGACCAGAAGTTAAACTCTTTCTTTAGGACATGGAGCACATTGAGATTCTTCAGCAGACCAGCTGCTCTGGGAAAGTATTCCCTTTCAAAACAGAAAGTTGGGTCTATGTTCACTTCTGCTGAGGCTGTGTTGCTGAATTTTGGTGGCGTGTGACATCTGGGGTGTGTGTCTGTGCCAGAATGCAGGGCACCGTGCAGGTAAAACTAAGGATATGCCATTTGGATTGTTTTGAATTACAAATCCCATCATTCTCCATTCTGGGAATTTTGCTGGACAGACAGAGATCTCCATGTGGCTCGCCTGGGAGAGTGTTTTGTCGCCTAGCTGGGCCCAACTCCACCCAAGCTTCCCGTTCAGCAAGGAAGTGGCTCCAGTATGCTGGCATAAAGTGTTAGCATAACCATCAGGCAGAAATGGCTGACTTGCCATCTTTGCATTGGAATAAAACAGGGCAGGTCAAATTCCGGTAGGGCTTGGGTTCTGGGTTTGGTCTGCCTTAGCATCGCTTGGCTGTATCCACGTGTTAAGCTGTTCACTTTTCTGAGATACAGAAAGCTCAAGCTTGCTCATACCAGTGGTGTAACTGTAGAAAGGGTTCCCCCAACCACAGCTAAACCTATGATATTCATAAAACAGACTGTTGGCCTCTTTCCTGAAATATGGGTCTTCTCCTCCTCTCACACACCGATCAATGCCTGACAAGGCTTAGAAACACTATCCTCCCCCAGCCAGCTAACAGGGACAGTGGCCCTCTTGCCTGGAGGCTTCAGGGAGACTTATTCCAAAGGAGGTGTGGTTTCAGATTCTGACCCCTGGTTGAGAATAAGAGGATGAGTGAACTGTTTGTGGAAAAGCCGCTCAGTATTGTGCGGTCCTTCTTCTCTTTGAATTCCTGGCCTTTTTAGGCTTGCTAACCCCAACTGAAATAAATGGGCCATGGAAGGAATGTGGCATGCTCAGGATATCAGCTCTCAGTACAATCTTAATTGCTTTCAGTGCCTGATTGTCCCACGGTTTTTATGGCTTCTGCAAAGAGGACATTCTTGTCGCAGACACTCAGAATATTTCAAATGATACTTGGTAGTTTCACGGTTTCACTCTCAAATCTAACCACAATAACTGGCATTTTTTAATAATTCTGAATGTTGCTGTTGATACAGCTGTTGGATCAGTGGTGTTCCTTTAAAACTTTAATCATTTCAAAAGCTGGAGCCCCCTTGAATTTTCCCAAGGCCCAGTTCACTTTCGCTGATGGAAACGCTTGTGGGCCTGTATTGCCCATACTTCAATTTCATTTTTCTTAAAAGAAAAAAAAATACATGCATGTTCTTTGGAAGACTTTTCTTTTATGGTATTGTTCCTGTTGTTCCTTCAGCCATACCAAGAGCTAATTTTTGAGGTTGAGAAAAATCAAAGAATAGCTTTCTGTAGATTAGCGTGATTCATAGGAAGTAATCGGTTCTCCAAAGCCATGATTATAGAATGTGAACTGTTCTCTTGGAGAAGCAGGGATCTCGAGGCAATTGGCTTTCCGAACATTGTACTTGTACATTCACTCTTTATTTTCTTTCTTTTAACTCTGCCTGTTGGCTCTGGTGTGAGTAGGCAGACTATCCCGCTGTCTTAAGTACTTCAAATAGCACAACGCTCTTTCAGTGTGCAGTTCAGAAATAGTATAAAAGTGGGGTTTTTCTATTTACTGTGAAACAAACCAGGTACGGCTTGCTTTTGTTTCCCTGGTCTTTGTTGAGAGGAAGCTGGCAAAGTCTTTGGAGAGAGTCTAAAATCAGTTGCATCTAATATTCATCTATTTTAGTGCCAAAATGTTCTGTTCCTAATAATCACGTGATAATGTGAACACAGTTACCATCTGTGAAAGGGTGCAAACCTAGGTTGTTGCATTTTTGTGTCTATCAACTTTCTGGGGTTCGATCTGAATGAACTTTGAAACATTTGTTACATACATGAGGATCAGGGTTTAAAATATTTTTTTGCCCCAACTGTATCTATGTTTCTACCCTCTAGTTGTGCGGAGCTCACATGGCTGGCATGGGTTGTTTGTAGGTGAATAAATCTCAAGTGTTTTTTCTTGTAGTGCTGTGAAAAATGTCAATGTTCTTTACTAAATTCATGGTTCTTCTTTCAGGGTCACATATTCTAGTATATGTTGCATTTGAGTTATTCTGGTGTGCCATGTGTTTTTTCTTTCTTTCAATGAGTTGATTTGAGAGGATGCAGATTGTGGGGTTGCCGTGTGTACGATTTAAGGGCAAGACTGGAACAGTGTTCCCCTGCTGAGTATAGAGCAGCCAAATTCTCTCCGGACATGTCAGAGCTACGATTCCCATCATCCTCACCAACAGAATCAATCTGGCCATGCCTGTTGGATATACCAGCTTCACGTAAGTGTGTGTGGGGAGCACCAGGTTGCGGAAGGCTGATGCAGCTGCTAAAAGATCTGTAATTCACCCACTGGTTCCAGGTTTTCTTTGTTGAGAAGGAACATGTGGTGCCCTGCCTTCTTTGCATTGTGAGGTCTAGATGGGAAACTTGTTCCTCTGGATGCCTATGACCTTAACTGAATGGAATGAATGGTGTTCATTCAAATTGCTACTGAAGGTTATTCTTAACATCGGCTTTCTCTTAACTTGAAACAAGTGCCAAAAAG